TTAATGATATCATTCATTGTGTGTATTAAAGCTTTTTCTTGTAACCGTTACTTTTGACACTATAAATAGAGCCTTCACAATTTAAAAAAGGGGACTTTTGGAGAACGACTAGACTCTCATTCAGAGCTTTTCTCTCTAGCCTATTCTTACTTAGAAGACCAATTCTTTTCTTATTCCTTTTCGCCTACCATGACCTTGAGTACTTCAAGAATTTCTCCAATCTTCCTATCTGTCACCTCCGGTACATTCCTTATTTGTTTGCAACGCTTCCTCTTCTTATTATAAGAACCCTATTTACATTTTGGCAACTCCACTAAGGAGGAGTGATTGCATTAAGTAAGACTTTTACTGCTATATTTTCTTGTTACTGAAAAAAATAGAGAGTTCTACTGGTAACCAAGATGCACTTGCTCCTTCTTACATTCAAGATCTGATGAGAATGATCCAAGCTTATCAAGAAAGGATGCAAACATTAAAGGACAATCATGGGCGAATGATGGACACTATATCTTAACTCGTGTCCCCTACTATCATCATTTCTCAAGCCCAGCCTATGAACCTTAATGAGAGTGCACCTAATGGATTCATTCATCTAGTTACAAACACTGAAAGGAATAGAGGAAATAGAGAAGGTGCAGCTGATGTAGTAATTGATGCAAACCCTAATCCTACCAACACCATTACTGCAGTTACTCTAGCAACTACCTTTACTGCAGTAATCTCACCTTCTCCTACTTAAGGATTTATGACAATGGAAGAGCTCCAAAGGCTATTAGATCAAAAGAACAAGAGCTTGAATTTTTTTTGTGTTTGATCTCAAGTTACCTTACTCTACTAGTGTTGTCGCAAAGCCATACCCTAAAGACTATGCTAGCCCTAAGTTCAAACAATTCAATGGAAAGATTGGAGAAGCACGCAAACATGTCATGAATTTATGGAGACTCTTGGAGTTACTAGATTGGATGATGACTTGAAGTTGAAGGAGTTCTCCAAGTCTCTCACTAAGAAGGCTTATACATGGTATGTTAACCTCACTCTTAGTTTTGTTCAATCTTGGAATTAGATGTGTAAGATGTTTGGGGAAAAGTTTTTCTCTACTCAAGAAAAGGTTACTCTCATTGATCTTGAAAGAGAGTTTCAAAAGTTTAAAGAGGATTTAATGGAGTATATCCAATGCTTTACAGAGAGGGTGCTGGACATACAAGAATCTCATGATGAGAAAAAGCTGGTAAAAGTGTGCATTCAGGGGATGTTTAATGAATACAGGCTACACTTGGAGAATCTACCTCTTCTAACCTTTGCTACACTAGTGGAAGTTGCACAATGGACCAATAATACAGTTCTTAGACAAAAAAGACTCACTTGCTTTGGTGGAAGGAATACTCCAATAGTGAATGCCATCCAAGGAGGAGGTAGAGAAAGAAAGGGTCCAATTTGAATAAATTTGTGCCCTAGAAGAGATGTCTCAAAGAGAAGGCCAGATGAGGAGAATGACTCTTCTCCACCATTCTCAATACCTTTGGATAGAGTGAGAGTGTCTTCAAGAATTGGTCAGGGATGGACAAATAAACTTATCTTACACTCCACGACCACCAACAGCGGAGGAGAAAGCTAACCTAAGATATTGTGATTATCATCGAGCAGTTGGTCATCCACTTTCTGAGTGTAGAAATCTTCGAAGAATGTTCCATCGATAAGTGCAAGTAAGAGAAGTATTGATTGGAAATAACATAGTCCAAAATAACCCTCTTCTTATTCATCCAAATCCTTGATGGCAAGTAAGTGCAATAATTCATGATCACCATGATGGCCCTTCTTCTTCAAACACCCAGCTTAATGATACAAGTGAAGATACTATGGTTACTTCTTCAATTGCTAATTCACTTATAAAGACACCTAGTTTCAGGTATTTCTTTGATTAGCTTGGTTTTTTAGAAGAAGCAAGGAAAGAAGTAGCTATATCACTAGTTCAAATAGTTGGAGAATAGTTTGGGGAGTGTAACTTAGTAGGATGACCTATGGGGAAGATGGTTAGTGCATATCAGAATGCTATTATGTTTACAAAAGTAGACATGTGTACACCTCATCCTTATCATAATAAACCCTATATGTGGAAAGTACTATCAATGGATATCCTATTAAGAGATCATTCATTGATGATGGCTCCTTTGTGAATCTCATATCTCTATCTACTTTGAAAACTGTAAACATAGATTTTCAAGGTTTACGTCATCCTATGACTGTCATTTCTTTTGATAATAAGGAGATTATGATTTTGGGGCAAGTGACATTGAACTTTAAGATGGGGCTGATTCAAGATCAAACATGTTTTCATGTTATTGATGCAAATGTGGCTTATCATGCTTTAATTGAAAGAAAATTCTTGCACATGCACAATATCATTCCTTCCACATGCCATTAATGTATTAAAAGATATTGGAAGGGGAAGAAGATTTTCATTCTAGCCACTAAAGCTCCATTTGAATGGCATGATGTTAGTTATACAGAGGCTTCTTTCTTTGAAGATCTAGCAAAAGATGAAGAAATAGCTATTGCTAAACCTATTGGTGTTCCACTTCCGCGATGGGAAGAGTATGTTGGGGATAAGGTAGAAAGTAATGGTAAGAAAAAGAAACGAGGTAGGAAGAGAAGAAGGGAAAACACTTCCACATATAGAGAAGTAAATGGAGAAAAGACGTCAAATGGGGTAACTTTCTATGCATGGGAAGATGAAAAAATTATGTATTGCTTATGATGGGATGCGGGGTCTGGGGAAACATCTTCTCCTGATCCTAAACTTTGGAAGCCTTCGGATGCATCACCATCATATTTTCAAGTAAAAGCAAAAAATGAAAGAGTACAAGAAGTATTACCATGAAAGAACAACTCTCAGATCAACCTAAGCCTTAAGGTGTTGAGTTGGAAGAAATAAATATGGCAGAAGAAGAAGAGACGCCTCAGCCACTCTTCATAAGCAAGAGTCTTTCGAGTGAGCAAAGGATTGTGTTAATTGAGTTGTTGAGAAAATTCCAAGATGTGTTTGCTTGGACTTATGAGCAGATGCTTGGATTAGATGAGAATCTCATTACTCATGAGTTACACATTTCTCCACAAAGTAAACTAGTGAAAAAACATACTCGTGTATTTTATCATAAGATAGAGAGCCAGATAAAGGAGGAGATTAACAAACTTCTCAAGGTTGGATTCATCAAACCCATACATTATCCTACTTGGGTAACAAATGTAGTTCTTGTAAAAAAAAAGAATGGAACAATTCAAGTGTGTGTAGATTTTAAAGATTTGAACAAGGCACGTCCAAAAGATGATTTTCCTCTTCCTATATTAATACTTTAGTGGATGCTACAGCTGGTCATGAGATGTTTTCCTTCATGGATGGGTTTAGTGGATACAATCAAATATAGATGGCATAAAAAGATGCAAAGAAAATGACTTTCAGAACTCCATTTGGTAATTTCTACTACATTATAATGTCATTTGGATTAAAGAATGCAAGTGCAACCTATCAACGTGCCATGGCAGCTATCTTCCATGACATGATGCATGATTGTATGGAAGATTATGTGGAAGATATAGTGGTGAAATCCAAAAAGGCTTTTAATCACTTTGAAGACTTGAAGAGAGTATTTGAATGGTGTAGAAAGTAAAATCTTTTCATGAATCCTTTAAAGTGTGCGTTTGGAGTAACAGTTAGGAAATTCTTGGGTTTTGTGGTTCATAGAAAGTTATAGATGTTG